TCATTAATGATCAACCACAATGTTGACATTAGAAAAATGGGACACTATAAACATTTCACCAACGAGCCCTCCAATATCCCATTTATTATTTGCAGATGACTTAACCCTAATGAGCAAAGCCAATATGAAGACAGCCCAATCTATCCTTAGCTGCCTTGATGACTTCTGTCACTTATCAGGACAGATGATTAATAAATCGAAGTCTAAATTGATAATATCACAACACTGTCCAACTTCAACAAAAAATAACCTCTCATCCATGTTGAAAATAAAGCTTAGTGAAACTTTTGGTACATACTTAGGCTTTCCCATCCTAAATTGTAGACCCAAACCAAAAGATTACCAATTTGTGATCGATAAAATGAGAAGCAAATTAGGTAGCTAGAAAGCAAAATGGCTTAATACAGCGGGTAGGTGTACACTAGCCTCCTCTACACTCAATACCATCCCAAACCACGTCATGCAATACTCTATATTGCCAACAAAAACTCTCAAGGATATTGATAAAGTCCAACGAGACTTCTTATGGAACTAGTCTCCTGATAAGCGCAAAATGCATATGATTAATTGGAATATCATTACAAAAGATAAGTGCAATGGGGGGGCTGGGTATAAGAAAAGCAAAAAGCAAAAACTTAGCCCTCCTAACAAGCTTAGCTTGGAGAATGATTAATAATACAAAGTCCCTGTAACGACCCGACCGGTCGTTTTGCCTTTTAGAACCCCGTTCCCCTAAATAAAGCCTTCCATACTTGCTTTAACTAATTTACGACTTGCGGGGGCGATTGGTTCGGGGATTGGAAGGGTTTTGAGTAAAAATATGCCCATTTGTTTCTTTAGGATTTCTTAAAAAGACCAAGTTTGACTTCGGTCAACATTTTGGGAAAACGGGCCCAGATTCGTGATTTGACAATTTTTGAGGGTCTGTGGGAAATATGGGACCTGGGCGTGTGTCCGAAATCGAATTCCGAGGTCCCTAGCCCGAGTAATGAATTTTTATCTAAAATTGTTTAATTGAAGCTTTAAGGAATTTAAAGAAACTAAGTAATCATTGATTCCCTATGTATCGGGCTCGAATTTTGGTTCCGAAACTTGGTACAGGTCCGTAATATTGTTTAAGACTTGCCCGTAAAATTTGGTGTCAATCCGAGTAGTTTAAGGGCGTTTTGACCCGTTAGAGGAGAATTAAGAACTTTAAGATTCAATAGTTTGATTCATTTGGTTTTAGGGGGTGATTCCAAGATTTAGCTTTGTTTGGGAGTTCCGAGGGTTCGAGTAGGTCCGCCTCGTGATTTCAGACTTGTCGGTATGTTGGGGCGGGGCTTGGGAGCCCCGAGCGTCAAACGAGCGAGGTTCGAGCGAAGTAGAAAATTTAAGAAAAACAACCTTCAGTTGCTGCTTCTGTCATAACCGCATCTGCGGTTCTTGGACCGCAGATGCGGTCAGCACGTCGCAAAAGCGTAAAGGGGCAGGCCAAGGGGGAACCGCAGAAGCAGCCCAGAGACCGCAGAAGCGGTCCAGCTCCGTAGGCCCAAATCCGCAGAAGCGGCTCGACATCCGCTGAAGCGGACCCGCATAAGCGGACACCTGACCGCAGAAGCGGTCCAGGCTTCTTGGGCCTTTCCGCAAAAGCGAACCTTTTTCCGCAGAAGCGGTCCTGGTACCGCAGAAGCGGAAATCGCTGGGGGTAGAGAGTTCATTTAATCCGAACTCAAAGTCATTTATTCCATACACAACTCCACACTTGGGCGATTTTGGTGCTTCCAAAGAGAGGGTTTCAACATAGCATTGTAAGGTAAGTAATCCCCATTCATCCTTAGTTAAATACATGTATATTAGGTAGATTAAACACTAAAAATTAGATAAAATCAAAGAGTTAGAGCTAGACCTAGGGTTTTAATAAAACTAAGATTTAATCATGTAATTTGCTATGTAATGAACTAGAAATGATATATTATTGATCCTTAGGTTGTACAGAACAATTTCCTTTGAAAAATATCGGAATCGGGGCACGTGGGCCCGGGGTCGGAATTTAGGAAACTTGTGAAAAGGGGTGGGAAATGGCTTAAATATCTAGAATTCGATCTAGTAAACTTATATTGACTAGTTTTTACTTCCTTTAACTAGTTTGTGATCGTTTGACTCCGACTTGAGGGCTTGGACTTGTTTTTGATATTGGAAGTGCGCGTTGGAGCGAGGTGAGTCTCCTTTCTAACCTTGTAAGAGGGAACTATCCCCATAGGATTAATAATTGAGTAATTGTTGCTAAATGCGGGGGCTACGAACGCGCTAGGTGACGAGAGTCCGTGCGTAGCTACTATTATGTTAACTGTCCGGGTAATTTAGGACCCACATCATGCTTGTTTATGTAAATCTTTATATTATCTTGGTATTCTGAACACCTAGGATATGCTAGAGGCTTAAAAAGGGAATAAGAACGTGCTTGCATAATTGTTGAAGTCTTGCTTGGCATTAATGACTATTGATGTGCCTTGTGTGTATACTTGATATTATCTTCTTATTTGTGGATCGGGCCGATCGCCTCGGTATGAATAGATGCATCTATAGGCGCGCCGTCGACCCTCGGCAAGTGCACAGTTTATTTCTGTTAGATCGGGTCGTCGCCTCGGCATATTTGCGCATGCTTATATAGCTTTGCTTGAGAGTGTTAGATATTAGAACTATTGTTTTTCATGACTCGAAAGGAATTGATAATTGTAACTGAAGTAATTGATTAATCTGAATCTTAGCGAGAATATGACTTATATGCCTTGTTGTAAACTGTTGCCTATTAAAGAGTTCGCATTGTTAAACTTACACTTATAATATTATTTGACCCTAGTGAGTATCAAGTCGACCTCTCGTCTCTACTTCTTCGAGATTAGGCGGGATACTCACTGGGTACATATTGTTTATGTACTCATGCTACGCTTCTGTACTTAAATGTACAGGGTCTGAGGCAGGTTGATCCGGTTATTTCTCTGGTGCGCATTCATGAGCAGACTTGGGACTTCTACGGTGAGCTGCTTTCCTTCCATGTCGATCCGCAGCCGAAGAAGTCTTTCTTTTGTATTGTTATATTCTGTCTATTCTGATCCAGACAGTAGGGTAGTGTGGTATTCTTTTGGGTTGTATATTCTACTAGTTGTCCGTAGCTTGTGACACTAGGTTCTGGCACACACTTTGGTAGACGATTAATTTGGGGTTGTGTAGCTATTTTATTATGGTATTTATCTCTCCTGGTTTTAAATTTCAAGTTGAGTGTTTTATTTCACTTATTCTAATTAAAAATAATATGATTATTTTAGTAATATTTCCGCAATGGCTTGCCTGACAAGGGTGTCAGGCGCCCTCACAACCTATTGTGAAAATGGATCGTGACATGGGAGTTACAATAATAATAGTAAGAAGTAGTGCGTCAGCCAACCCCCTAATTACAAGAGCCTTTTAATAGATTTTGTGGTCATAATACTACGACAACTAGTACAGAAAACTGAAGTGTGGTTAAAAAAGAAATAAGTAGTACTATATTTTAAAGAGAGAGAAAAATAAACTAGTAGTACAAAGATTGCCACATCATCATCATCATCATCCAAACTTGTCACAAACATTTGGCGCTAGCTTTTTCTCTAGTATCAGTTACAGCCTCTTCTTCTCCTCCAACTCATAATATCCTCTACCCAAAATTGTAGCAGCAATGGGAGCTGGAAGAACCCTCTTCTGCTCTCAGAGTTCGAGTTTTGTAGTTTGTAATTACACTCAAAAAATTCATGCCCAAAATAATCGAGCTTTGGCATTGAAATCAGTACTTGTACACAAATTGACCAATTTTACTAATCAAGATTCAATTTTGAGAAAACCCCAGAATCTTCCTGTTCTTCGACTTAAGGTTGTTACTAGAGCTGCTGATTCCTCACAGCCATCTTCCTCTGCTATTACTTCCTCCGACAAATCTATTGTCCCCGATGAAGAGTTTTCACTTGCCAAGGTACTTTCCTTTTCTTTTCGTTGAATTTAACATTTACTCCATACCTTCCAAAAAGATTGTCTTAGTTTGATTTGGCATAAACTTTAATAAAGAAGATATGTGATCTTCAATAAATCATAACAATTGTGTGGCCGTAAACTTCTGAAACTTATGGTCTTAAACCTATCATAGCATTTGTTTGGCTATAAATTCTTCCTATTAAGGAAAATAATGAAAGGTATTTATCTTTCTGAAATGGACTAATAAAGAAATAGCGTCAATCTTTTTTAACAGAATAGTATATGCTAACACTGTAAAATGCTTTTTTAAAACTATTAAGCTATTTTAACCTGTTGTTATTTTTTATTTTACTAATTCTGGACGTTTACCTACAGTTATCTTTTAGTTAGGTAATTTGATAGTGTAAAAATTACTGTTAGTTAAACGAAGTTAATCTATTTTAATTGCTTTCATAGAAGGCCTAAATGAAGCAAAATGATTATTGAAGATTCATATAGTTTGGAATCAAAACATAGTTGTTGATATTGTAATATGTTTCTTTTCAGACAAATTTAGCCCGCTAAGTTAACCGGAGACCGAATTTTGAATAGTGAAATAAAAAAAGGCCATTTGTGCAAATGCCCATTTCAATTTATCTGATGTTCTTTCTATAATGGGAAGTTCCAAATATTTGTTACTGTTCCGATGATAATACTACTCTACAACTTCCAATAATTTACTATTCAAATTTTATATTGTATTAGGATGTTTCTCTATCAAATTAACAATTATTCAGTTCATATTTTCTTCCACTGCCACTAAGATATATTGCAAGTTACATTAACATCTGAATTATGTTCTGTCATATATAAAATGGAAATACGAAATGGAGGGAGCATATTGATTAATAAAACATTAAGAAGGAATATGCCAGAGAGTAGCGATGGGAAATTAGAAATGTAGTGCAAAAGAACTCTAGATTTTTCGTTTAGAAATCTAAAACTTTTCTTGTGTTAGAAATTTAATAGTTTGACTTTTGAGCCTGGTATGATATTCATATACTTGAATTGTCCTTTCTTCAATTCCTTTACCTACATTACTGTTGTTATTTTTATTTATACATCAATATAAATTATCTTCTATTGTTCATGATGTGTTACTCTTTACTGTAATGCACAATTTTGTTCTAGTTTTTGACTTAAAGCCTATCTGAACTTGGACTTCTGTTTTTTTTTCGCCATTGACATCATTAAGAAAGACTGCATATCATTGTGTCCTCAATTTTTTGGGTCTTATAATATTGGATTATCATTTGATTTAGCGAGAAACTCCATTTTGACAAAAATGGACATACCACCTAAATATGCTTATAGGCTGTTAATGTCTCCTTCTTCCCTTGAATCTACTGGTCCTGAAGAAATTATCGATGATGTTCTGTGGATGCTGTAATTTGAGGTTTCTTTTGGTGTTATTGGACTCTGCCTTGGTGTTTCACTTCTCTCGTGAGTATATTTAATTGATCATACCTTATAATAGTGGCTTCATGGTTATCTAAATTGACAAAGAGACACTTCTGTGGAACACAACATTCTCTACTGTCCTAAGTTTTTGTGTGCAAATCCTTTGACATTCAACAACAACTCTTTTAACAACTATAGTTTGCATATATGTGCATATCACTTGGCAATAGCAATGAACGAGAATCAAATTCTCTTTCTTCTTATTGTAAATGTTAAAAGAAGGTAGAAATTTTAGCAATCAATGATTTTGAATAACAAACACATGTAATAAGCTCTGTTTTAAAGGGCAGAATTGGGACTCGCCCCGGGGCGGAGCACTCGTAAAACGCCCCTGGGCTTATGTCTGGGGCTTAGTTCCGTGAGACTTATGCCTCGTCCATCGGGGGCTTAAGCTCCGGACACGCCCAGCGCCCAGCGTACTGGGCTCGCCTAATAGAACTTTATGCAATTGTATGTAACTAACCTTGTAAATCCTCAAATTTTCTTAATAAATCGTTGACTATTCAAAATTACTTTTTTCTTAATCATAAATCATTAAGTTGAGAGTATTTTATGTCATAATTAAAATAAAAATTATTGTACGTTATCCACTAGGATTGCTATGATAGTTAATTTTAAATAAATCTTTCATTTAAAAAGTATTTATTTATTAACTTTTGTTATGTCTTTACTATTTAATAGTCCATAATTTTTTTATAATTATTTTTCTAAATATTTTTTTTTTCACGTTTATGAGATACAATACTTATTAATTTAATAGCTCAGTATTAGCTAGTAACTACTTACAAATAGTTAGTTATCATGGTATTGTGTGGTGAATTGTGTCACTTTATTAACTTGTTGAAACGTAAAAATAAATGATGCTACAGAATCATATTGGAATTGTGAATTATGTTTTTATATTAATTCTCTTTCAAATAGAAAACATATTAAATAAAAAGAGTATTTTAAGAAAAATATCAAATTATAATATCGAAATTCTTTCAAGATTCATTACTCCTTAAGAGATACATATAAGATTTCGTATCGAATACATTACTTTTGATGTTTGAGTTGTAATGACATTGCAGCTAATTTGCATATTATGATATATGTCATACTTTTCGTATTATTCATAGTTGAATTATACTTTATAAATATTTTAAATAGATTATTTGTTATAATTTTGTGACTTTAATGTAATTTTTATAATTATTTTTTTATTTTATACTATTTTAAAATTTTTGAAATTAGTAAAATTTAAAGATCCTTGGGACTTACGCCCCATGTCTCAGGGCTTACTCCTCGCCTCGTCAGAGATAAAACGTCTCGCCTCACGCCCCCGCCTTTTAAAACATTGGTAATAAGTATGTGCCTTTTAAAACATTGGTAATAAGTATGTGTTATTCTTGTTGGTTTCATGTTGTTGAGTTTGCTTCGTTCTTCACATTCTTTCGATATTTTTAATAAATAACATTCTCTCTAATTTGATTAGAAAGGAAATGATGATGTCTCAATATCAATTTTGGAGGATAACTATTAAGCAGTGGCGGATCCAGGATTCCGAGCAAGGGGGTTCAATATTATTAAGAAGTGAACATTAAATTTCATCGAATGAGGTCATCGAAATTTGTTGAATCCAAATGTAATGTCAAATGGGTTCTTTAAATAAATAAATCTAAATAGGAACTAAACTATCGTCGGAACTCATGCTAATGATATGTTGGATTAAAATTAATACATTGGTTTGTTTTGAAGTAATTCTTTTTACCAAAAAGAAAATACTAGTAAAAAAGGGGTATTATAAGGAAGAAAAGGCAAAAAAAAAAAAAAAATCATGTCTAGTAAATAATAAACAAAAAATTAGCAAAAGATAATTGCGAAAACAACTATTTTAATAATTAAATAAGACAAAGAAGTTGAAGGCAAACAATAGGAGTCTTATTTGCCTCACCTTCCGCGTAATGTATTGTTCAAGCAGTGGAAAGAAAACATAACTGCAGTGTGTGGGAAGTAGGATCGAACTTGGGCCCTTAAAGAAAGTAAGAAGAAATAACTGCAGTGTATGGGAAGTAGGATCGAACTTGGGCCCTTAAAGAAAGTAAGAAAATATAACTGCAGTGTATGGGAAGTAGGACCGAACTTGGACCCTTAAAAAAGTTTGAACCTTCTTGACCACTAAGCTAAGCTTTAGACTTGTGTCAAGGGGATGCAACATCTTATATATATCAATAAAAATCAAATTTAACCCTATATACACAATGTAATTTTCCGTCGAAGGGGGTTGGGATGACCACCCTTCCGTCCCCTAAATCCGCCCCTGCTATTAAGTAGTTTAGAATTAGATTAAAAAGGGTATATATATTGTTAGTATCCTCTTAGAGCAGTTTCCTTAAATCAAGAGCTCTACTTTTGTACATACATATCTAGGTTTTTATATTTGTGCTATCCGTTAGATTCTTTGACGAGGTGGATGTTTTTGTGCCAGCACACCTCCTGTTAAGGCTATTTTTGAACTCTGTAATGTATGAAAGACTGACTAGACTATGTATTTAGTTTGTCTAATTGATTAAATAATCATCTTGAAGCATAGGTCACTTGATTGTTACCATGTCACATTTGGGTCGACCTACCTTTTATTCTAGAGGGTTAAAGAAGTTGTTTTCCCCCTCCCTGAAAATAGCAAAAGAATTTCAGTCCAATTCATACAAAATAAAGATGATACTACTTCTATATTACTTCAAGTTGGAGCGACATCTTTCAACCAACTCCACCACTATTTTATTCTCCAAACTGATATTCTGAACACTTTGCTACAAAATTACATATGATAAGTAGTATAAATATAGATTTGAGTTTCTTCAGTGCCCCACACTCCTTCCAATTTTTGGTTTTTTGTTTTTTATTCTTCTTTTTGATTGTCATAGCAAAGAAAAGAGATTATTGAAGGTCACTATTCCTCGCATGCTTTCTCACTTTAGAGTTTAGACATAATGAAGTTGGCATTAAGGTTACCTTGACTCTTCTATTGTTTCATTATACTTTTCAGGTATGGATTTGGAGCATATTTTAACATCCTTCCTGGTTCTGAGTGGTCGGCATTGATGTTGGCATATGGTTTCCCACTTACTATAATCGGCATGGCTCTTAAGGTTATCTAGTTCTCCTTTTTTGACTTGTTTGCTTGTATGGAGTTATAAGTCCTAGGCTTTTAATATTGAACAACCGTGTTTCAAAGTCTATGTTCTATCAACGGTATCTTTAGTTGTGTTAGAAATATGCTTTAAAAGCTGCTCTCAGTAAAATTATTTTACTGTTTCAGCTATTTACTGCAGTAATTTAGTTTGAATTTGAAATAATTTTGAACTAGTTTTTAGGAGTGAACTAGTATTATTTTCAGCATATTTTGTGCTGATTTTTAGGTCTTTTAAGTTAGTATTTCTCTTATAAATTGTAGTCCAAAGCAGTAAAATAATATAGTATTTTCAGCTTCAGTTCCTTTTACATCTATTCCAGTATATTTTTTTATTTTCTTGTCATCTTCCCAGTTATTTCCCTTAATTTCTTTTATCAAGAACCAACAATTGGTATCAAGAGTCATCTTCTTAAAGGACCTAAGTAAAATCTTTTCTTGAGTGAGATGGAGACTGAAATGAGTTTTTCTCAATTGGCTCCTCCAGTCTTTGATGGTGAAAATTACCAACTGTGGGCAGTGAGAATGGAGACTTACTTGGAGGCTTTAGATCTTTGGGAGGCCGTGGAAGAGGATTATGATGTTCTTCTGCTGCCTAACAATCCCACGGTGGCCCAGATCAAGAGTCACAAGGAAAAGAAAACCAGGAAATCAAAGGTGAAAGCAACTTTGTTTCCTGGTGTGTTTGCAAAAAATTTCACGAGAGTTATGGCTCTCAAATCAGCAAAAGAAATCTGGGATTATCTGAAGGGAGAATATACAGGAGATGAAAGAATACGAGGCATGAAGGTGTTGAATTTAATAAGGGAATTCGAGTTGCAGAAAATGAAAGAATCTGAGACCGTCAAAGAATACTCAGATCGGTTGCTTGGCATTGTTAACAAGGTAAGGTTGCTTGGCACTAAATTTAAAGATTCAAGAATTGTTAAAAAAATTCTTGTTACGGTGCCTGAAAAATATGAAGTATCCATAACTACCTTGGAAAATACAAAGGATCTATCCAAGATTATCTTGGCAGAATTGTTAAATACATTGCAGGCACAAGAGCAAAGGAGGCTTATGAGGCAAGATGGTATGGTTGAAGGAGCCCTTGCAGCCAACCACAAAACTCAAAGCAAGGGTAATAATGTTAAAAAAAATTACCCGCCTTGTCAGCACTGTGGCAAAAAAGGTCATCCACCATTCAAATGTTGGAAGAGGCCAGATGCAAAGTGCAAAATTTGCAACTAACTTGGTCATGAAGCTGTAATCTGCAAAGGCAAATATCAAAAGCATGAAGCAGATGCCCAAGTCGCCAATGAAGAAGAAGAAGATCACTTGTTTGTGGCAACTATTCTTTCAACCAAAAAATCCGATTTTTGGTTGATTGACAGTGGTTGTACAAACCACATGACATATGATAGAAATCTTTTCAAAGAGTTCACGTCTATAGGAAATAAGAAAGTCAGAATTGGAAATGGTGATTATATTCTTACTAAAGGAAAAGGAACTGTTGCAATCCCAACAAATTCAGGTACTAAGAAAATTTCAGATGTTCTTTATGTTCCTGATATTGATCAAAATTTATTAAGTGTTGGACAACTAATGGAAAAAGGATTTAAAGTATCCTTTGAAGATAAATATTGTTTCATTTATGATGCAACTGGACTTGAGATTTTAAGGGTTAAAATGAGAGGTAAAAATTTCTCATTTGATCCAACCGAAGATGAAGAATGGAGCCAAAAGAATCTACTAAGTGCAGGTAATTCTCCAACTGAGGACATATGTGAAAATAAGGTAAGGAAGAAGTTATCAATATTTCAGAAAATGCAATTCTAGAAGAAAGTTGACAAGTCTCAAGGCAAGATGCAAATGAAGCTGAAAAACGAGCCAACTTATTTCATTAACAATCATGAGATGCAGCAAAATACAGAAGTGAACTCGATTCACTGCAAGTCCAAAGATCAGTTGGCAGATTTACGTACAAAGTCGCTTCCAGTTAAAGGTTCACAAGGGACAAATTCAGAATTTGCAGCTTCAAAAGCAAGGAGGAGGTTAGAAATATGCTTTAGAAGCTGCTCTCAGTAAAATTATTTTACTGTTTCAGCTATTTACTGCAGTAATTTAGTTTGAATTTGAAATAATTTTGAACTAGTCTCTAGCAGTTAGTTATTTTCAGCATATTTTGTGCTGATTTTTAGGTCTTTTAAGTTAGTATTTCTCTTATAAATTGTAGTCCAAATGCAGTAAAATAATATAGTATTTTCAGCTTCAGTTCCTTTTACATCTATTCCAGTATATTTTTTTATTTTCTTGTCATCTTCCCAGTTATTTCCCTTAATTTCTTTTATCAAGAACCAACAAGTTGGTCGCCTTGATGATTCTGGTGTAGAAATCTATTTCGTCCAGAAAACTTACTCTCCATTACTTTTCAGTATGCAGAGCTCAAACCTGTGCCATGCATAACGTACTCAGATGCTCAACTACTACGGGAAAAATGTGCTACTCCAATCCTGAAGCAGGTAATGTTCTTTTGTTGACTACCGGAAATGCCCTTCTGCCACTTGATGCTTTTCTTAAAGCATGTTAATCCATGCCAAGAAGCTCCAATCTTTTTTTGCGAAGTCGTGTAATTTTAGCATCGTTAATCTGGCAAAAGTTTGTGATACTCGAAAATCAAAGATAATAGTCTCTTATCAAGTTAAACATACTCATTTCCTTTTTCAACAGCCCGACAGTAATGTTTAGTAATGGGCAAAATACAATTTTGTTGAACCTTAGGCTGCACAATAATTACATGGAGGCCATCTTTACTCCTCTTAATACAATTATTTTCTCTGTTCTGTTCCCGGAAGACCAATTTTAACACTAAATAATATATATGTGCTATTCCTATCTTAAAAACTATGACCCACAAACTTGGACGTACGTATTGAGATACAGTGAGTAACATGTTGAATATCACTGGGTCAAGTCAAGCTTTTATAATTCCTGATATGATTCTTCTACTAAGATAAATATGAAGACAAAATGCCATTGTTTCCTAATATTGGTGATTTGCTATTATTACTTCTTTTGACCCTACTCCCGGATTTCGTTTCAGTTATTTCATGTTCAGTATGGATACATGCAAAATATATATATTTCAGTAAAATATATATTTCATGCAAGTAATATAAAATTAATGGAAAAGGCCTAAAAATGCCACTGAACTTTCAGAAATGGCCTATTGATGCCATCCGTTAAAAATTTGCTATATCCATGCCATTGCCGTTAAAAAAATGGCCCAACTATGCCATTATTTGTCTAACGGAGGGAATTTTTTTAAAAAAAATATTTATTACACTTGATTTTCCACGTGTCATGTTATTATTTGTCCGAAATAACCCCAGCCCCACTTAATTCTAACCTTAGTTTGGTCCACTACCCATCCCCAAACCCAACCCGGTTAAAACAAAACAAATCCCCTTCAACAAATCCCCTTCTTCTTCCCCAAATTTGCAACCCTAAAACCTCCATTAATGTTGGTCCAACCCTAAAACCAGAAAATACACAGAAATCCATCACAAGGCTGGTCAAACGCTTAATTGGAAAGGTTAAAATACAGCAGGGAAATCATTTAGNCTGTGCGTATCTGTATTTTTTTGAAGATGTGGTTGATATAATCTATATATATATATATATATATATATCTATATATATTTTATTTATTTATTATTATAAAAGCACGAATGTTAAAACGCTAAATGTTAGTAGACGAAAATATCCCTGAAATATTAACTGACGATTATGCCCTTTAAAGGTCAAATTATTCTTTGAAGTATTTAACTCCATATTGGACAAAATTGTATTATTTGTGATTCTAACTATTGCTCATGAGTTTGAAACCAACTAAGATTTTACCTCTAATTCACTAAAAAATTTCCACATTGATTCTTGTTTAAATACCAAGTCACTTTGCATGGTCAAATGCGGCTTGAAAGTGAAATATTATATGCCAATAATTCACCACTCATAAGGTTGAATCGAACTCGAGGAGCCTTTAATAGCAGAAGTTACATGAAATTAAAATCTTTTTACAAATTTGAATCCTTTGGTACACAACCAAACATTAATCCGCTCCTAACTAAAATATGTTTGCTCTCTAATGGCAGCTCTATTTAAAAAACTCAATATGTATACCGTCGCCATGAGAGTTTAAGAGCTTGACCTTTTTTGATAAAAGGATATCAATTTTCTCCTTTTTTTCTTGAATGCTATTTTTTCCTCCATATCATGTGTGCAAATTTCAATATAAGTATTGTTGCGTTATTAAGTAATTTTACAATTTTAATTGCTATGTGTTTCGTAATATTTGACACAATCAAGTTAATGAGAATTATTTGACGATAATATTTTACTATTTTTTTTGTATAAATTATATAATGCTTGACTTGAGATATTCGTGCAACGCACGAGTATAGAGACTAGTATACTATATTAAAAGTACGAAGGCCCTATTGAAATATCGTTTGCCTTTTTTACCCCTTTAGGATAGATTACACATTGGATAAAATTATAATTGTTAATTAATTATTTTCCTAATATTTAAAAATTTCAGATCAACTAAAATATTGGTTATTAAAACATTCCTTATTTGACATTATGTAAAGTCCCTAATATGTAGGAACTTCATTACCTAAGGAATATATATTGATAACTTTTTTTAATCCTAATTAGACTATCCAAGACTAGATGTGCGCATGGATTTTCATTCTTTCGTCCTAATCTTTTTTTTTTATAATAAAAAATAATAGCAACAATAATAATTATTATTGTCACATAATATGTGAAAACACCGATCAATATTGAACAAATTACTAACAAAATATTTAAGTGGTTGACAAGAGTCAAGTACATTAATTTTACAAACACAAAAATCCAAAAAGTAAAATATCAAATTAATTTCTTTACTCTTTGATAATATAATTTAGATAACAGTATAATTATAATTAATTATTTGAAATTGGATGAGCTAATATGAATAATGTGAATCAACAAAAAAAAGTAATTTTATTTAATGTTGCAAACAAATAATTAAGACTTTGAATTGACTAATTAACAAGAATAAATTTAATTATTTTTCATATTCCTCGTATAAGTAAAATTATTTTCAAATTGACAAATCTTATAGGATACATAATTTTTCTTTTTTTTTTTTACAAGAATTGCATTAGCATATGGTAAAATTGGTTATAATAACATAAGAGTCAAATTCGTAAAAATACAAACTTGAAACAATAGAATACAAATTATATTCTAAACGAATTGTCATTTATTATTATTATTATTATTATTATTATTATTATTATTATTATTATTATTATTATTATTATTATTATTGTTATTGTTGTTGTTGTTGTTGTTGTTGTTGTTGTTGTTGTTGTTGTTGTTGTTATTGTTGTTGTTGTTGTTATTTTACAAATGACAACTCCTCTTATGTTGTATATTAAATTATTTGATGTAAAATATATGTGTCATTTAGGCTTTATGTTAGCCCCTTATCAACTTTTTTTTATGAGCATAACACCAACCTCATTCATTCCTAAAATGGCAGAGAAATTTTTTTTTTTTAAATATATCTTATTTGACAAATATTTGTTGATAATAGTATTTACATATTTTTTTTGTTTATTTTTGTATTAGAGTCATAAAAATAACAATATTCATTTATAAAATATTTCTATAGAAGTCCTCAGAAACTACAATAAGGCATCTAAGAACTTTTATGAAAGGAATTCTTTCTTCACTGAGCCAGCTAAATAAAATATTTAGTTGTCATCATTCTCAAGAACTTATATATTTTTGTTAATTTTTATTTTAAAAGTCAAACACATTGCTTATCAAATTTTTTACTAATTTTTTGAAATAGTGTATTCACTGATATAGAATGCACGCGCAAAGCGCGTACTCTAAGACTAGTATATAAAAAACTGGTTGCATTAATTTCAACTAGGGGTGGCAATTTAAGCCCAAACCCATCCAACCCGCCTAGAGATTAATGGGTTGGGCTACAAACATTTTACTTAGTTGCCCCAATTTTACTTTTTTTTTTTTTTGTATTTTCAATTTTTATTTTTTCGTTTTTCTGCACCACACACCAACCCTAACCCCCTCCCCCCGGCAAACCCCCTCAAAAAAAGTTTNTCTATTTAGTCCAGAAAACTTACTCTCAATTATTTGTCAGTATGCAGAGCTCAAACCTGTGCCATGCATAACGTACTCAGATGCTCAACTACTACGGGAAAAATGTGCTACTCCAATCCTGAAGCAGGTAATGTTCTTTTGTTGACTACCGGAAATGCCCTTCTGCCACTTGATGCTTTTCTTAAAGCATGTTAATCCATGCCAAGAAGCTCCAATCTTTTTTGCAAAGTCGTGCAATTTTAGCATCGTTAATCTGGCAAAAGTTTGTGATACTTGAAAATCAAAGATAATAGTCTCTTATCAAGTTAAACATCCTCATTTCCTTTATCAACAGCCCGGCAGTAATGTTTAGTAATGGGCAAAATACAATTTTGTTGAACCTTAGGTTGCACAATAATTACATGGAGGCCATTTTTACTCCTCTTAATACAATTATTTTCTCTGTTCTGTTCCCCGAAGACCAATTTTAACACTAAATAATATATATGTGCTATTCCTATCTTAAAAACCATGACCCACAAACTTGGACGTATGTATTGAGATACAGTGAGTAACTTGTTGAATATCACTGGGTCAAGTCAAGTTTTTATAATTCCTGATATGATTCTTCTACTAAGATAAATATGAAGACAAAATGCCGTTGTTTCCTAATATTGGTGATTTGCTATTATTACTTCTTTTGACTCTACTCCCGGATTTCGTTTCAGTTATTTCATGTTCAGTATGGATACATTCTCATATTGCTGACTAACTAGTAATAGGATTTTCTTTCTGTAAGGTCAGGAGCGATGTGATAAGATACCTTTATGGGGATGAGCAGCATTTGGATGAGGCATTGAAGCGTAATTTCCAATTTGGACTGGTAAGTTCCCTTAATTTTGTGTTTTACAAACTGATTTTTTTAATATTCAGATTAAGTTTGGCAGATGTTTGGAATGGAGATTTAACTTGAGGAGTATGAGAAATTTTCCAAAGAGGCTGTCAATTTCATGGCTGTGGATCTCATCAAAAAAATGAAGGACCAAAAAAAAAGAGAACTAAAAAGAGCATGAAAAGATGGAGAGATTAAATGAGAAGCAAACACCGTGGATTTTCTGGTGAAAATATATGATAGGTCCTTTTCTAATTACTTTTGAGTCTTTGGATGATGGGAGCTTTATAACTCAATGGAAAATAATACTCCTAGCAAAAGGGAGTCTAACGTTTTTTTTTTAGCCCACAGTGTGGAACTTTTATTCCAAATAAAACAATTACAAAGGAGGAGGGCTAGGCCTGACCTCCTTGTGCAAAAGGAATGGAAATTCATTCAGTACATAGTGGCATGAAAGCCTAATTTCTCAAAAAATTAAACTTGTGCCAGCTGGTGTAATGTGTCTTACATGTGATCCTACCAGCTAGCAGTAACAGGCTATGGTGGTTCAAAGAACCATCCTGGGTGTTTGGTTGCTCTAATCCTGAAGGAAGGCATTTGGAGTTTGTCCATTCTCAAATATCCTTTTGTCTCGCAAGGCAGATCATTTTCTTGCATGTATATCTTGTCCTTCATGATGGCAGTTGCATGTTTTGCAAGTGAATCAGCTACAGTGTTTCCTTCCCTAAAGCAATGACATACTTCAATATCTCTATGTGATATCTTTTCTTTGATAGTTGTTAGGTCATTGTGAAGCCTACATGGTGGTTTTGCTTTTCCTTGAATCATTTGAACCACCAGTAGTGAGTCCAGTTCCACAGTTAGCTTGTTGAATTGTTGTTCACAGCACCATATGATTCCAAAGAGCGCAGCCTGCAATTCACTAAATTTGTTAGTCAAGAATTGAATAGGATTAGCATAAGCCATTACCATATCTCCATTTCCCCTTCTAACAATCCCTCCAGCTCCTGCTTTACCCATCATCATCATACAGCTTCCATCAGAGTTCAGTTTCCAATTATCCTCTTCTGGGTTAATCCAAGTGACCATGATGCTTCACAGTCTGGGTTGGTAATTATCCGCAATGTGGCAGATATCATTCAACACCATTCTTCCTCCATTCTGCTAAATTTCTTTCCAATGGCAGTTTTTATTTAGAAACACTATTTGTTGGCATATTCTAGTAATGGTTGTAGTCTTCTGGCTGTAGTTCTTTGTGATAATGGAAGTTATGTGAAGAATAAGTTTGTGCAATGGGTTCTTAGAATGTTGGTTCCACCATTGGTATAACACATTGTTGATACCAGCGGCCCTACAATTGATGCCAAGTGGGCTTGAAATGATATGCCATACCCTTTTGGCTATGTCTCTCCTTCCACAAATACATGTTGCAAGTTCTCTTCCTTGGATTGTCTGCAGCAACAACACCTGGAGACTAATTGGAATCCAAATCTCAAATTAGTATTATCTAGTGAAAGTTTGTTTTTCAACAGTCTCCACATAAAGAAGGAGATCTTGAAGGGGATTTCTTTGGACCACACTTTACTGAAAAGTGTATTGTGATTGTCCCTTTGTCTCAGAATTTGTAAGCAGATACACAAGAGAAGTTTCCATCTGATGAAGGCTTTCAAATTGCCTGGTCTTTAGTATCTGAATTCCCCATTTTCACTGTCTCTATAATATCTACAATATTTTGTGGGACTTCACTTTTAAGGGTGTCAATATCCCAGCTATTATTTTGAATGAATTCCTTCACTCTGTATTTCCTGGTTTGTAGGCGAGGTTAACTGAGGAGCTTATAGGACCATCATCTGTCCAATTATCCCACCAGAGTAGCAAGTTCCCCTCATTCACTCTCCATAGAATGTTAGTTTCCAACTTTGTTTCTGATATTTATCAGGCTCCTCCATGCATTAAAGTCTTTAGAATTCCCTTTCTTGGCAACTAAGTTGCTTTTGGGACAGTATTTGGCGATCATGAACCTAGTCCAGAGGTTGTTTTCAGTTCTGAGTCTCCACCACCTCTTAGCTAAGAAGGTTTCACATATATCATGAATTCTCTTGAATCCAATACCACCCTCTTCTGTTGGAAAACACATTTTAGCCCAGGAACTCCAGTGATATTTGTTTTTACCTTCATTATGCCCCCAGAAGAAATTGGTAAAATACATCTCAATCTGATTCATCACTGTGACCGGTGGAACCATAGCAGCTAGCAGGTGAAGTGTCTGAGACTGAAGTATATGTTTAATGATAACTGCTCTACCTCCTGGTGACAGGAACCTTCCTTGCCATCCACCTGCTTTTGCCAGGACTTTGGTGGTAATATCAGTAAAGTGATTGATTTTTTTTCCTGCCAGTGTATATGGGACATCCCAGGTAGGTGAACGGGAATTGTGAGTGCTTGTATCCGGTCCACTTCTTGAACCTTCTTTTGTGATGATTGCCGATACTCTCATGTGCCAAGAAAAAGCTTTTTTCTTTGTTGATCTCTTGACCCGTTGCTTCTTGATACATCTTCAATTGCTTCATAATGAGTTTTATAGATCTCTTGTTTGCAGACGAGAAGAGTACAAGATCATCAGCATAACAAAGGTGATTAATCTGAGGTCCATTTTTATGCCTAGAAAACCCAACAAAGACTTCCCTGAGGTGAAGCTGGTTAAGAGCTTTGGTCAAGCATTCAGCAGTAATAATGAATAGTGAATGAGAGAAGGGGTCCCCTTGTTTCAACCCTCTAGAAGAATTAAAGATTCCCTGTCTAGAGCCATTAATGATAATAGAGTACCAATAGAGTACCTAATCAAAAAAAAAGTACCAATTATTAGAAATTAGTCTATATATTAATTCAATGACCAGTTCAGAAAATCCTACTTTTCTGAGTACAGAGGTGAGAAATGTCCAGGACAACTTATCATATGCCTTAGACATATCCAGCTTCATTACTATATTTTTTTCACTTTTCTTCTTGTTGATGCCATCTATAATCTCCTGAGTAAGAATGTTTTCTGTTATAAGTCTGCCTTTCACAAAACCAGGCTGGTTTTCAGAAATAATCCTTGGCAGAAGGGGACTGATTCTCGTTGTCAGGATCTCAGAAATAATTTTGTTGGTGAAGCTGCACAAACTGATGGGTCTCATTTGCGAAAAGTTGTCAGGGGACTTAACCTTAGGAATAAGAACCAAGCATGTGTGAGTGTAGTATTTTGTTAGGTTGGCTCCCCTGAAGAAAGCTGAAACAAACTCTATAACATCATTCTTGACTATTCTCCATGTAGGTTGGAAAAAAAGACCATTAAATCCATCTGGCCCTGCTGCGTTGTTTGGGTCCATAGAAAAGATGACCTCTTTGATCTCTTCCTCAGTAGGTTTTTGCATTATATGTTCATTATCTTCATCTGTAATCAATCTATCACACCATTTGAGAATGTCCATATCACTAGTACTATTTGGTTGAGTAAAAATACCGTTGAAATGATCAATTGCAGGTTGTGCTATTTCTTTATTCCCTTCAATCCAGTCACCATTCTCATTTTTGATTCTATGAATTCGAGTTTTTCTCATTCTTTCTCTAATAATACTATGAAAATATTTGTTGTTGGTGTCACCCTCCTCTGCCCACTTGACTCTTGCTTTTTGCCTGAGTATGGATTCCTGCATCTTAAGCCACCTGATGTATTCAGCCTCTGATTTATGTAGTTTTTGTCTATTCTCTTCTGAGTCATCCATATCGTAAGCCTCCTCATTAAGTATAGTGTTCTCTTCCATTTGCCTGACCTTGTCATAAACATTACCAATGTTTTCCCTAGACCCTTTGCTCAGTTCTTTGGATAGTGTTTTAAGCTTTTGTTGCAACACCCACATGGGATTGCCTTGAATGCTTGTGTTCCAGCACCTTTCAACTAATAGAAGAAAGTCTTTTGATCAGCCCAAAAATTCAAAAACTTCAAGTACTTGATAACTTCTTGATTGTCGTTGTTGCATTTCATAAGGAGTAGCTTATGATCAAACCTTGTTCTGGGAAGATGATCTATTCTGACTGAGGTGAACATATCTGCCCAACCCTCATTAATCAGTGGTCTATCTAGTCTTTTTGCTTACCCTTCTACCTCTCCTTCTACCGTTGCACCAGGTAAAAGGGCTGCCAGTGAATCCAGCATCAGACATGCCACAGTCTTCCATGCAAGTTATAAAGTCTGTGCTTTAGCTAAGGCAGTGTGGAATTCCTCCTGATTTTTCTTCAGTGGTCATAATAGAGATGAAGTCTCCAACTATAGACCATGCCCCTGGACTTGTCTGCTAACTGACTTGAGTTTATTCCATAGTTTCTTCCCCTTGTTGGCCTTACTTCTGGCATACACTAGTCAACCAGAAGTTGTTGTTAGTGCCTGTGTCTTGAATACGAAAAGTGATTTGTTGTCTGCTCTTCTTTTTAACAGTGCAGTTGAATCTGGAGTTCCAAAAGCACCTTATCTTACTATGAGCATTAGTAATTATATTATAGACTTACCTATAGAATAAATAAATATTATTTATAAATTAAAAAAATAAAAAATATTTAAACATCTATAATGCTGGAATAATTAAATGATGATCATAGTAAAAGAATTAATTAGAATAATTTGTTTGTAATAATAATTTTAGTATTAACAACAAAATTCAAAAATTTATTTACACAATTCAAAATGAAAGGAAATAAAGGCTGTAAAATATATATTTCATGCAAGTAATATAAAAATAATAATTTAAATAAAAGTATATAATATACATTATATATTCTTGAAAATTATGCTCAATTATATTATATATATTCCATGCACGATTTAACATAGCATATTTTACCCTATATAGATAGTCCCCTTTCTTTCCGGTGATATAACTTTGTATCGTCGGGACTTGGTAGAAACATAATAATATAATTGAGCATAATTTTCAAGAATATATAATGTATATTAAAAAAATACTTTATTTAAATAATTATTTTTATATTACATGCATGGAATATATATTTTACAACCTTTATTTTCTTTCATTCTGAATTGTGTAAATAATTTTTAAATTTTTGTTGTTAATACTAAAATTATTATTACTAACAAATCATTCTAATTAAATGAGGAAAATGAAAATGAACCAAATGAGGAAAATGAAATAAAGGTATACGTCTATATTAAGGGGTTGTTTGTTGATGTGTCCTGTGTGTCTAATGACCTGTAAAGGTCCCAGGTCTACTATCAGTCGTCATGTGTCTTGTATGTTTGTCACAAAGGTATACGTGCCCCCTGCATTTGTTTCCTCCAAGTATCAATTCCTTGGCAGTAAGTTCTGCTCTTTGAGTGTTTTCTATCATTTGGCAATTTTGTTTACTGCTTTGTTTCTCCACATCAATGCTAGATTCCATTCCAGTACTCCTCTTGTTGTTCCCCTTCACAGTCATCTCTTGTGTCTGCTCTTCATTGTTCCCCTTGTTGTTCAAATTTTTAGTCATGTCTTGTAATTGTTCCTCAGTAATTCTTTCTACTTTTCTTCTTCCCTTTTTTATTATTTTTCTTTTGTTCTTTTTCCCATTCCTCTTTGCTTTCCACTTTCTGAGTTGTTTCATGTTGTTTCTGCCCCACAGTGTTAGTGTTATCTTTGCTGGAGATTTTGTCATTGACAATTTTATTCTTGTGGGCCTCCTTTTTTCCTTTGTTCACATCNAGCTCCTTTGACTTCATCCCCCTAATGTTCCAGATGATTGTATTAATCAGTAAGACGTAGTTCGGGGGGGGGGGGTGTGTTTTCCTTTGTTTTTCAACTCAGGATCACTTATTTTTCCTCCTCTTTTCACTCTTTTGCTTCTTGCCCCTCGGGGGGAAAGACCCTGTTGTTCAATGATTTTTTCGACTTCCTTTGCAACTGGATCAACACAAATAGTATCTCCTGGCACAAAAGCTGCATCTAAGTAGTTGAGTTCCTCATCTACTTGGTTTTCTGTATTTTCCTCATTTGGTTCATTTTCATTTTCCTCATTTGAATCATTTCATCTTCCGCTTGTTGTGTCTGCTCTATATTAAGGGGTTGTTTGTTGATGTGTCCTGTGTGTCTAATGACCTGTAAAGGTCCCAGGTCTACTATCAGTCGTCATGTGTCTTGTATGTTTGTCACAAAGGTATACGTGCCCCCTGCATTTGTTTCCTCCAAGTATCAATTCCTTGGCTTTCCTTGGCAGTAAGTTCTGCTCTTTGAGTGTTTTCTATCATTTGGCAATTTTGTGTACTGCTTTGTTTCTCCACATCAATGCTAGATTCCATTCCAGTACTACTCTTGTTGTTCCCCTTCACAGTCATCTCTTGTGTCTGCTCTTCATTGTTCCCCTTGTTGTTCAAATTTTTAGTCATGTCTTGTAATTGTTCCTCAGTAATTCTTTCTACTTTTCTTCTTCCCTTTTTTGTTATTTTTCTTTTGTTCTTTTTCCCGTTCCTCTTTGCTTTCCACTTTCTGAGTTGTTTCATGTTGTTTCTGCCCCACAGTGTTAGTGTCATCTTTGCTGGAGATTTTGTCATTGACAATTTTATTCTTGTGGGCCTCCTTTTTTTCTTTGTTCACATCATTCCTTTGCATATTTGCAGTAGCAATGGCTTGTCTGCTAACTTCTTTTGGAGCACTGCTTGCCCCTTGCTCCCCAATTCTTATTGCACTATCAGTACCATTTTGAGCTTCATCAACTTTTTGGTTTTTCTTATCAGCTTCTCTATCCTCTTCAAACCTTCTTTTTTCCAACACTCTACAATTAATTAAAGAGTGTCCAAGTTTCTTACAGTGTTTGCAATATTTAGGTATCCCTTCGTATTCCAATTTCTGAGTAAAACCTTTTAATGGTGAATCTTCATCCTCTTGTCCTACCCAGACCGATTCAAGTTGTGGTTTAAGAAGATCGATTTCGACTCTACCTTGGCCATACTCGGTCTTGTCTTGTTGACTGTAGCAACATCAATTTCCAATGGAACGCCCACTGAGCTTACAATTTGTTTCAGATAATGCCAGTTATGCATGTTAAACGGTAATTTCGGCAGTAAAACCCAAACCGGAACGACTGGTATGTCTTCCTCTGGTTTGAAATCGGGACTCCATTTCTGTAGCCACATTTGCATGCCTTCGATGTCAATTACCCTTCTATACCAAACCGACTTGCAATCTTCCTCAGTAGTGAAGTCCAGGAATACATTCTAGTTGTCATAAACTCCAATTTTGACACTCCCTTTTATAGAGATTCTAACGTTGATGTTTCATCTCCACCTCAGAACTTATCAATCTTACACGTGCTTCTCCTATAGGGGAAAATTATGCCCACACCAAGGAAATGTTAAAGATATAAATATTTGTATTTGCATTTCTAATAGCTATTTACATAACTGAATTATTTTCATCATGCCATGCAGCTTGAGTTGTGAACTTTCTCGTGGCTATTTTATATTCGCAAGAATAGATACCCTGCTCATTATGTATAAGTTTTAATCTCTAAGAATCTGCTAAATCCAGAAACATCGTATGCAGACAACATTCTTTCTCCTTTTGAAAGATTCTTTAGAAACTTTTTACCGCATTGTGAAGGTGATTGATTTGGGTCTCTAAGAAGCCTTCTAGAAATTTTATGCTTAAATAGTTAGCAGGCAAATACACTTTTGCAAGTTCATTAATTGATGGAATTTAGAGAAAAGAAGTTATCTCAATACCAGTTGCAATGATGTCATCTTCCTATCGTAATCAATTTTCAGGAATCTTATTAGGATGGTTTAACCGTTGACTCAAAGCCTGGTTAATGGAGAAGAGTAATGAGAGTAATGAGTTATATATAGACATACACTACGGGTGTCGTTTGGTACGAAGGAAAACATTTTTCGGAAAATATTTTTCTAATTTTCTCATGTTTGATTGGCTTAAATGTTTTGGAAAATATTTTCCTTATAAACTCATTTTCCTCTAATTGGAGAAAAATATTTTCCTTATCAAGAGAAGGGAAAACATTTTCCAAAACTCCTTCTCTACCGTCCCTACCCTCCCCACCCCCTCTCTCCAAAAAA